ATTTGTTTTCGCATTCTTGATTCAATATTTGTTATCGTGTATATAATCACATGTGATTATATGTATCTAATCACATATGATTTATATAATATGTGATTAGAAACATATAATCACATCTTATTAAATGTATTTAATCACATATGAGTAAAGTGGACAAAACAGTTATTGAATCGAGAACGCGAAAATGAATCTTAGCGACATAAATCATATGTGATTATATTCATATAATCACATGTGATTATATGTATCTAATCATATGTCATTTATGTGGACAATATTTATTTTCATGTTCTCGATTCAATAGTTGTTCTCGTGTATTTAATCACATGTGATTATACGTATTTAATCACCTATGATGTATGTGAATAAGATTCAAATTCACATTCTCAATTCAATAGTTGTTATCATGTATTTAATCTAGTTGTTATCATGTATTTAATCATATGTCCTTTTATGTATTTAATCACATACGATTAATATGGACAAAGAACAACTATTGAATCAAAAACACAAAAATGAATCTTGTGCATATAATTCATATGTGATTAGATCATATAATCACATGTGATTTAATACACGAGAACAATTAACGAATCGAGAACACGAAAATGAATCTTATATGCTTGTCTCACTTGAGAACAAACTACATTCTGCCTTTCATTGTTCACTCTACCGGATTAGGGTATCCGTGAACAATAACATAAAACAAGTAATGCCTACATAATAGGAGAGTTAGTGTAACTCACCTCCTTAAACTTGAAAATTAGCTAGCATGAGCTAGATGGATCCTTTCCTTTCCTCTTATAAAACTTATGTACATATTTCCTTCTTTTCTCTTTGATTGTAGTACTCTGTTTGGGATTTGTTTTCTTACCTTTCAACCCATTCTTAAATTTTGATAAAATAATATTAGTAAATTTACCCTTTTTATCTTTTCAGAAATATAAAGATCTCATTCTAGTGATTTTTGGTTGATTTTATATTAAATTTACAAGTTACTAACTTTAAGTTGTCACTTTCTGGACCACTCAACACTCTTGGAATAAATTGTACCAATATATTAAGAATTACATTAGTCCCTTTATATGTAGGAAACTATACATACATATCTAACTATAGGCTTTGGAATTTTGGCATTTGGAGTTCTGATGAATTTATTATGATTGTTTGAAGACAATGCATGAAATATTTGACAGCGTGGACCAGCCTAAGAAGATTGTCAATTTTACCCCTTAAGGAGTTGGAATTTCAAAATGTGATTCAAAGTTTGAAGAAACTAGAAACACTAATATTTTCAGAAAACTAAGTCTCATAATTTTTCGGTGCTCTTATTGACTTGCACGAATTTTAGAAGTTGGAGGACAGATTTGGGAAAATTGATCATAATAGGTTTTAAATCACTTTTGGTGTTCTATTAAGGACTTAATGGTTACGCCTTAAGTTTATCACTTTTAACATGATTGTTGGTTACTTATTAGCCTATTGAGATGTGAAATTCAATTAACCTAAGGGCCTTAATGTTTGGCTTAATGAGGGTTCAAAGTTAAAGATTTTCACATAAAATGCCACTTTTACACTTATTAGGTTCTTTCAGACAATATGACAAACAACATGTGTGCATAAAATCCTAAAGTGATCATCAACTCTCTAATAGACTCCAATCCAGCCCCTAGAGCTTACTATTTTCATTTATCATATGAAACAAATTAATCAAGAAGCAACCTAAGAGATTCCACTTCAGCTTGATGATTTCTTGATTCTAAAGCCAATATCAGAGTCCCAACATGAAAAAATAGAAGATAATAGTTTTCCAAAATATAAACTTACATATCTATAGAAAATAACTAACTTACCATGGCAGATGGAAAGGGCAATGAAATTGGTTACTGACCTCCAGCAAATTCCTCTACAAATACAATTTCAAAATAGATATACCAAATTGGTCAAACTAAGTTATAAAACGAAATGTTTCTTAATGAATTTATTATAAAACTGTGTTTGAAAACCATTAATCTGATAACAAATATAAAAATTTGGAAATGAAATTACATAGGATAAGGATAAGGAAGCATACAATCAATCAGGGCAAAATGCCTCTATTGGCTCCTTCATCGACGTTCTCCACGTGAATGAAAAACGAAGAAACAAGTCCGAATCCATCTCCAACAAGCTCGATACGAAGATTTTTTAGGCAGTAGGTTCACAAAATCGGAGACTTGACCGGTGGCGGATGAATATATGTACTGGAGTTTCGTGAAATCCAGGTAGCATCGGAAATCGTAGAGAGGTCAGCGATCGGAGAAGTGGTGAAGATCGACATTTTCAATTTGATGCATAGGTGCTTCAGTATGTTATCTTCTTATCTCTTATGTGTGGCTTGTTACGGGAATGTAATAACTTTAAGAAAATTACATATACACCCTTATTTCATTAAAAGCAACGTGTTTGTTTTCCTATTGCTGATTTTTGTTCTCAAATGTTCTCAACCCCATAAATGTTCTCATTAGAATATATATATATATATATATATATATATATATATATATATATATTTGTAGTTGAAATTAATAAATTACTAACTATGTCATTTTCAAATGGATTAATCATAAACATAATTACAAATAAAAATAATTAAAAAAAATTATTTAATATTATTTACATGCAACCTGCATGTGAAAGCAATTAAGATATTATGATTAGTGGCATTATGATTATGACAAATGTTTATGATATGATTCAAGATAATTATAATATTTTATTTTAATTTTATATAAAAAATATTACTTTGTAGATATTTACAAATGAAAATCATTTTTAAAAATATATATTTGCCAATGTTATCAGGCCCGTTCCAGAGGGTGGGTGATAGGGGCGACCGTCTAATACCCATCTTTTAAAGGGACCCAATTTTTTTATGGAAGTTGTTATATTTTGAAGATACTGCAAGTTATTTTCTTTCAATTATATTGAGTTATTATAAAAACTTGATGACATTTGTGTATTTTAAGAGCCTATTTTTTTCTCTCGGACCCAAAATATATTTGGAACGACCATGAATATTATAACCACATATTTATATATTGTACAAGAACCGTCTTCCGATTTCTATATATTGTAGAATATTTTCTTTTAATGGTTCATTTGTTAAACTAGTAATAAGTATTAGTGGTTGATATGAATATGAAAATGATGGAGTTTGAGTGACATATCTCTTTGAATTTTGTAATAAATATTTTTGTGAATATGATAATGATGGGGTGATATCTTTCTTTGAACTTTGATTTATGTAAAATTAAATCGTTGTAAAAATTACTCTTTTAAGTTAGGGCGTGATATGTTGATGACATGAAGTTGACAAATACATTAATTTCTTATATATTTTGTTGGTTGGTCTTCGGGTATTAAAACGGAAATGTCAATTGTCAAGTACCTATTTTTTTAGCGGAAAAAGTATACTTGGATATTAATCACAAATCTAAAATACACTTTTTAAAGAAAGGTTGTAAAGCAAAATTGAAGTACATAATGGATGCAACTTACTATACTAAAGGAGTAAAAGTTAATATATGTCGAATTAGCTAAGAAAATTAATTAATAGCTGAAAACTTGATTGTTAGTTGAAAAATTAGTTGATAAAAAGATATCATCCGGTAAAAAAAGACTAATTGATAAGCCAACTGCAAGATATAAAATGATATTTAGAAGGATATGTTTTTTATAATTAACTAAGAGTATATTCATTAAATTTTTTTAAAAAAATTCTTAAAAAAGCTAGTTTAAGTAGTTTTGCAAAATAAAATTTTATAAGCTACTTTTTGGTTTTAAAATTCGAAAAATAAACTAGATGTATGACACGTAAAAAACAATCTTAATAATGTCTTAAAAGGGAAACTTCATAAAATAACCAAAAAAATGGGATGTATTTGAAAAATATGACTAAGGAAATTGAAGTTTTACAAAATAAGCAAATTTTCTCTTTTTGGCTTTACGAAACCCAAAACTCTAAGGAATTGGACATATGTGCAAAATGACAAAAACTAATTTCTGAAGTGATCGATGTGGAATTTGTATGTCTTGTGCGTAATTGAAAAAACATTAATTGATCTAGAAATTGAAAAAACCATTTTATGGATTTTTTTTTTAAAAAAAATACCACATTTCCGCAGAGGCACTGCGGATCCATAGAGCAGCCCTTTGCGGATCTGTTCTACCATCTGAGGAATTGATCTTTACTGAAAGTCTTTGTTTTGTTTTGATGAATTTTGCCATAAAACATTTCAAATTACTCGTTCGGTAGGCATATGTTAAAACATTGATTCAATTTAACCATTTAAACTAAAAAACTACGACATAAAACCTTTTTAAACCTAGGCATATGTTAAAACATTGATTCAAATTACTCGTTCGATCTCCTTTCCTCCTCACTGCTGACCGTTTCCGATTCCGATCGATGTCCACCTTTCTTTTGCAGCCAACGAACTCGTTTTCCGCAGCAAAGGCTTTCCCAATCCACAATGAATTTTTTTGATATTTTATTTATGTGTTTTTATGATTTTACCCTGCCACGTAGGTTGACCGAAGAAAGTTGGTCATTTTGTGAAACTTCAGTTACCTTGGTCATATTTTTCAAATACACCCCATTTTTTTTGTTATTTCATGAATTTTCCTGTCTTAAAATTCGACAATCACATAAAGATTTTATCAAAATGACGGATGCTTGGATCATCTTATATTTACCCTTAAGTATATTTTTTTACAAATCTTTATATACATCTTGAAATCTGATTTTCAAAATTTTATCAAAGCAAAAGCAAAATAAATTTTGTCATATCTAATAAACATTCAAGCCATTGTTCCAATTTCTAACATGCATGCAGAAACCAAAAAGGGTAAATACGTAAAATCCAATCACGAAGGGTAGTTCTGTCAACTGCTAAATCAAAGTTGACTTCTAACTTACCAGTTCCGGACCGGAAAGAACAAGCTCGGTTTCAAGATTCATGAATTCAGTATTCATGTAATTAATCCACCGACTCAACCCAGCTGTTTTCTCTCTCATACACACGCACAAATCACTAAATTAATCTTCACAGATCTATTGGCCGAAAGACAACACACCCAGCATAAGATTCTTCTTCTGTCTTTTTCATCGTTATCGATAATTTCAGATCATAGTGTTTTCTGCTTCAAACTTGAATTGATTTTCGACTTTATTCCAGTTGGGTATTGAAGATTCTTGCAACTGTTTCATTTATGGTTCGTTAAAGTTGCGGGACTTAGTGTTGTTTTTCAGAAATATGGATGAGTCAAGAGGAGGAGGTAGGAGAGTTGAGAAGAGAGTTTACGACGAAGAAGATGATGATGGTATGCCTCAATCGAAGAAACCCAAAGTACCGGGTTTAGCGAGGTTTGTTTAACTGCTTCTATTTATTTTCTTGTTATAAATATTAGTTTTGTAAATGATTATTGTTTGTCTGTGCATAATCATCTCCATCTGTTTGTATAAATGTCTCAAAGAACCCATCTTAGCACCTTGTGTTTCTATTTGCGATCTTAACAAGCTATGATTTTTATTTTTCTCCCACAGTGTAATTGTGGAAGCTTTGAAGGTCGATAGCTTGCAAAGACTTTGCTCCTCTTTAGAGCCTCTTTTCCGTAGAATTGTAAGTCCTTTTTTCTTCATTATAAAGATTCAAACCTCGAAATTTTCAGATTCAGTATTTACATTGGTGTATTCGCTTTTTTACCTCAAACTATACTCTAATTTATAACTCTGAATAGATTAATCTAGTTATCAATTCTCGCTTACAATAAGGTATTGGGAACACAGGTAAGTGAAGAAGTCGAGCGTGCTTTGACTAGATTTGGACATGGTCAAATTGATGGAAGGTAAAGATATTATATCCTTTAGAACTTCATAGTGTTAAATCTTCATTTCTTCATTTTACAACATTATAAATGTCATCCCGTAGAAAAGAATTTTTAACTGCTATAATTGGGTAATTTTTTAAAAAGTATAATGTTCCACCAGATCTTCACCACCAAGAATACAAGGTCAAGAAGGAAAAGTTTTACAGCTTGAATTTAGAACAAGGATGCCACCTCATCTATTTACAGGTGGCAAAGTTGAAGGGGAGCAAGGAGCAGCTATACATGTTGTGTTGTTAGATGCAGCCACAGGCAATGTGATGCAAACTGGAGAAGAATCATCATCAAAACTGAATGTAGTAGTGCTTGAAGGTGACTTCAATGAAGAAAGCAATGAAAACTGGAGCACTGAGCATTTTGAAAGTCATGAAGTCAAAGCACGTGAAGGAAAAAGACCACTTTTAACAGGGGAGACACAAGTCACATTAAATGAAGGAGTTGGAACTTTGGGTGATCTTACTTTTACTGATAATTCAAGTTGGATTCGAAGTAGAAAGTTTAGGCTTGGTTTGAAGGTGGCTTCTGGATATTGTGTTGGAATTAGAATTCGTGAAGCTAAAACTGAGGCCTTTGCTGTTAAAGATCATAGAGGAGAACGTATGAAACTTACAACTTACAGTTTCTTGCATAACATCTGTTACTGTTACTGTGACTGTGTCTGTTACTTTTGCAGTGTACAAGAAACATTATCCGCCTGCTTTACACGATGAAGTTTGGAGATTGGATAGAATAGCAAAAGATGGAGCATTGCATAAAAAGTTAATGAATTCTGAAGTTATAACTGTAGAGGATTTTCTCCGTGTTCTTGTTAGGGATCCACAACGACTGAGAAATGTAAGTTTTTATTTATTTATTTTCTTGTTACCTTTCGCACACCCTTTGTTTCTAATATGCTAATGAACACAGATTCTAGGAAGTGGAATGTCAAATAGAATGTGGGAAAACACAGTTGAGCATGCAAAGACTTGTGTTTTAGGAGGGAAGTTGTATGTATACTATGCAGATTTAGGTCACACCACTGGTGCTATCTTCAACCACATTTATGAGCTAAGAGGTCTCATTTCAGATGCTCAATTTGTTCCATTGGAATCACTTAACCACAACCAAAAGGTCTACACAACACTTTTCTCCTTATTTCTTTTCTACAAAAGAAATTGATAATTCATTTTTTTTTTTTTTTTTTTTTTTGAAAAACAGATTTCAGTAGATTCACTTGTGAAACGAGCATACGAGAATTGGAATAGAGTTGTAGAATACGATGGGAAAGTTTTAAGCGCATTAACTTACCCTTCTCCACCTACTCACAACTTGATTGAATATCCATTTATAAGTTCCGATCAAACTCAAACACTAAGTGGTGGTGGTGGTTCATCAACCACCACCACCACCCACCAATCATCACCACCCACCCACTATGACTATGTGCCCGGTGCACCATCTACCTTCACCGGTTCAGATGGTTGGTCGAGCCAGAGCCCAGACGATGGACACGGGTTCGGTGACTCTTTCTCGGAGGAAGTCCGGTTAAGAAGCTCAGAGATGTTGGAAACTGATGATATGCAAAAGCTACTCAGAAGCTTTGGGGTTGGTGTAACCGCGTCAACTTTTGGTGTTTGTGACAACGGTTCATACGGTTATCATAACCATGTTGCTCATGAACCACAGGTGGGTCCGGTGGTTCATGGGCGTGGTTCAGGGAAGGCGGTTGTTGGGTGGCTTAAACTCAAGGCTGCATTAAGATGGGGGATTTTCATAAGGAAGAAAGCTGCAGAAAGAAGAGCTCAACTTGTTCAGCTTGATTGATTGACTTCAAATAGTTGACTCATGTGTAGTAGTAGTAATAGTAGTACTTATCTATGTAACACTAAATGTTGATTTTATAGAGCTTTTTGTTCTTCATAATGCAATAATTTTGTCAATAAGTAACATCTTGACCAGCTTAAAAGTTTTCTTACCACTTTAAGAGGGTATTGACAAGTTCAATGCTACGATAACTTGTATGTAATGCATAAAAACACGTACATCATCCATAAACGGATTCAAGAAATACTAAAAAAAAACATGTTTGCAGTTGTACCCATGAAACGAAAACATGGGTATATGTTGATAAAGATAGTAATGAAGAAGCTAGACATAAATAGTCCTGGAAATTAAATTACATATTGATACAAACTTCTCATTTTAATTAAAAAAAAAAAAAAAAAAACCTAATTTTTTGATGCAGCCTTCGTTTTATCGATCTCTAAGGAGTCAAGAGCTAATTTATCCATCCATCATCATCATCATATACATGAACCGAAAGAATAAGGATCAAATCCATATTCTCCATCCATTATGATTGTCGGGTCCTGCTCCTGCATAAAAAACAGAGTTTGAAGGACCAGAATCAGATTTTTGAATCTTTGAGGGGCCAAACTCAAAATCAAAATTTAAGTTATAAAAGAAATGAGGGGTAAATTTGCAAAAAGTTAGAACAATAAAAAAAAAGATCATATACCCTTTTCATCATTCCATTCATAAGATCATCCAACGAGTCATAACCATTATTTGCAACAAAACCATTCAGTAACTTGGAATTCTCCAATAAATACTCTTGACCGGGTCCCATTTTCAGTTCAGTACTTGACCTCTCACTCCCTCTGTTATGTTGCATAGCCGGAGCTGGTGTCAGTGCACCATTGCCGCCCAAACAACCACCACTTAGTGGTGGTGCCGAGGCGGATAACATGCTAAAACCATTACTCGAATACTGCCCGTAATTCTGTTTCCCATATTGCCCCTGCCTTTGGCTTTGAACTTCAAGCGGCACCGAGGCCGTGGTGGTAATATTACTCGAACCAAATCCGGCGGTGTAACCGTATTTCAGGCCGCCATTAGGCGGCAATTGGTCATGGAAAGCATCCCCAATTGGTGGTGGGACTGGGACATCAAGAAAGGTGGAACTGCTTGAAACGAGGTTGAAAGATTCTGAACTCATGGGACCCATCTTTAAAGAACCTGTAAAGATTCTAGATTCATCAATGGGAGTGAAATCCGGGATTTGAGTGTTATTATTATTTGGTTTATGATGAGTAAGATCAAATGGGGATTGAAAAAGATTTGTGTTTTGGTGTGTTTGAGTTTGTGGTGTTGGTAACACAACGGGTTGAAATTTGTTGAGGGAATTGATGGAATGGGTTAAGTTTTGGGTGTGGGTTGGTTGGATTATAGAAGGTGAAGTGAGACTATGGAGTGTCATTCCAGTTGCACTATTGAGTCTTCCAAGCATTCCGGAAGGTGAATACGATGATAATGTGGGACCCGGTAATCTTCCGGAAGCTGATAGTGTCCGGAAATCACCGAGTCCTTCGAGTGAACTCATTCGCATGTAAGACGACACGTCTTTGCTTCCACCAAATGCCACCACCATGTTAGCTTGTTGACTTATCCGTTTCAAGTAAAGCCGATATTTCTGTAAAACAAACACATGTATAAGGTAAAAATATATTTTATTCTTCAAACAAAAACAGCCCCTGAGCTGGCCCACACAGTCTGTCCAACATCATATGAGATGTAATCAGATACCCACAACCCTTGAGCTGACCCACACAGAATCACGACCATGACCCATCCATATAATCGTGTAAGATGTAAATCAAGTACATAAAGATTGTGCAGCTAGATAGATGCCAACAACCCTAAACTGGCCCACAAGACTTCTTCAAAAACATCAATCCACAATGGAATTGAAATTACCAAAAAAACCCTAATATTATACTAGGAAATACGGTAAAAAAGCAAACCTGGAGATGGCTTGCTACATTTTCCCTAGTAAGACCTTCCACATTCATCAAATCAAGGATCCTTTTAGGAACAGCTTCTGGTTATAAAAATAGAAAAAAGGAATCATCAAAGAGTGTCGATGAAACAAGTTTAGATACGAACACAAGAACAAAAAGACGGAAAAACTCACTCTCGATTCCAAGTTGATTAACAGCAGCAACGAACTTTCTATGAAGATCAATAGACCAAACAACACGTGGCTTCTTCTGCGAAGATGGATCATCATCTTCATTCCCATTATCTTCACCATCGTCATCTTCATCTTTTCTTTTCCGATTAAGTTTCCCATTCAGATCTCCACTTCCGGCTTCCTGTCCACCTTCACCTCCATGATTCTGCCTATCTTGGTTGTCAGATTTCGATTGAGATTTTGACTCCACTTTTCTACGAATCACATGTTGCCATATATTGCGTAATTCCTCCAAACGAACTGGTTTCACAAGGTAATCACAAGCCCCATGTGTTATCCCCTTCATTACAAGCTTCGGGTCGCTGTTTCCCGATAACACTGTTGACAATTTCAAAGAAAAATTAGAAAACCCACATCGATTTTGACTTCGGAATTGGAGAAATTGGAGAAATTGAAGTGGGAATTAGTGAATTACTGATAACGGGTAAGTCCATTTCAAGACCCACGAGTTCAAGAAGCTTGAAACCATCCATGTCCGGCATATGAACATCACTGATCACAAGGTCAAATCGGTTTCGATTTTCTCTTAACATCTTCAATGCTGTTATGGCTTGACTTGTGGTTGTAACTGTAAAATCCAAAATTAAATGTTTTTAAAACAGAAACCTAACTCAAATTTTCATGAAAAGGGATAAAAAATAAAGATTGAAACCCTGAAAAAGTTAAAATGATTGAGTCAACACTTTAAAGAATATAATCTTTTAACAACAGTTGAAACGAAGCTAACCTTGGTATTGGCATTTCCTTAAAAGCCCATCTAATAACTTCAAACAAGTTGGATCATCATCGACAGCAAGAACTCTCATCCCAATGGGAAATCTGTCAATTTCGTTAGACCCTCTAATTTCCTCTACAGTCATCTTCTTGTTGTTTTTTTCTTTATAATTTGAAACACAAATCCAGATGATGAAAAAGAGATCAAACAAGATTCAAGAAACACACAAGATTCAGAAAGTTTGGATTTTTTTCATCTGTTTGACCACCTTGTTGACGAACAAAACCACCCCAGAAAGAAAAAAGAATGATTTCAAAGATAATAGAGAGAGAAACAGGATCTTGGAGAGAGAGAAAACAAGATAGTGACTTGGACTGGAGCTTAATACATATTGACAATGATGGGGGAAATTTGGCCAGAACAGATTGAATGGCTTTCAACGCAACAATACACAGAATCAAAAACTCTCTCTCTCATTCTCTCTCTCTGGATTTGTCTTTTGCTTTTTTTTTTTTATCTACTTCTTTTTGCAGAAATAAAAAAGCCCCTTTTTAATAAAATATTATTTTGGGTAATATCAATGTATACATATAATCTGGTATATGTACACATTTCCATCTTTGTTTCTATTGAGAAACAATGGAGACTTTCTTTTTCCCCTTTCTTAGAATCTTTACCTCTAATGGATATATATGGAAGCTTTATTATAACTTTTGGGTGATATAAGTTTGTTGTAAAAACAGAATCTTTTAATAAACATTATTAACTCTTCAACGTCAAGTTAGTTAAAAGGCAGACACTCAACACACAACGTTAAAACTTAAAAACATAAGAAGTTATATTCTGTTTTTATCTAAGAAGCTGAAAGCTTAATTTTTATTTGAATAGAAATATTAGTTTTTTTTATATTTTATATATAGAGAGATATGATGAGGTTCAATAGAGAACCATAATTAATCAAGGAACCAATGAACCAATCTTTTTTTCAACTTTTAGAACTTATTTTTTATCGAAAAAAAAAACTAAAAATACAGAAATTCATTACTTTTTATCCTTTTTCCAATGATATCAAATTCGATTTTTTTTACGTCAAATTCACAATGTGAATCCGGATTCACACGGTGAATCCGAAAAATATTTTTCATATTCACAATGTTAATATATGAATTTAGATATTTTTAGATTTTTTTTCGATAAAGAATAAGTTCTAAAAATTGAAAAAAAGATTTGATTCCTTGAAGAACCAATAATTATGGTTCTCTATTGAACTTTTCCCTAGAGAGATATTGGGTAAAAATATGTAGTATAAGATTTTGAAGATACACTTAATCTGTTAAAATTCCGGATTAGAAGAAGAATAAAGAAACCCAATTATTAAGCAATCCTAGCCGTCCATTTGCTTTGATAATACTAATGGACCCATCCATTAATCATATGCAACTCATAGTAATAAACATGTTAATTAGAAAAAGCTTTTATGGTGAAAAGACGTTTTCTTTAATTAATAAAAAGTATTGAAGGGTAATATGGTAATTGAAGAGGGACAGAATCTTGGAGTAATTATCCTATCAAGTTTAAAATGCTAATTATATTAAATTGCCATTTGAAGGTTCAACAGACTAGCCATTTAAAGCCCTCTCAAATAATACCTTTGCTTGATTAGGTATGGTGCTTAATTAGAGGCTTATTTATTTATAATTTTCAATAATAATACTACTATAAATAATAAAATAACCAAATGTCATTTTCCCCATTCATTTGACCTACCAAATGTGACATGTTCCGAGTAAGCATGTGTGTTTATGTTTGATTTTGTTTTTAGTTATTTTCTATAAATAAATCATTACATAAGTTCATAAATGACTCGTAATCATGATTTTTTATAATAAAAGTTATTGTACTATTTTTCTATGCTATGAATAACTAATATCCTAATATCCTATATGATAATTTCAACTAATCAATTTTTCGTATGAAAACTAGAAAGGTTGGTTTAATTAAACATGTCAAACTATGGTCCAAAAAGAAATTAAGCAGCATGAGTAATTTTTGTATGCACCGTAAACATTTTTTTCGTCTACTTTTTTAAATGTTAAAATGTACCATATTAATGGCTAACGTAAACTCGTTCAATGCCCATATA